TAGGTGTAAGCCACTGGCGCCTGGCTCCAGACTCATTTTGAGTTACCATGGACAATGCATTTCCTTTCTATAGGCTTTGGATTTTTCATTTACCAAAAAAAAATGTATTAGAATGATCTCAGCACTCATTCTGCTCTCAAGGGCCACCTGATGTAAAGGGATCACTGGGGAGAAGAAGATAGACTCCCCTCTGTCACAGGATAAAGGGGAGTGGCATTCACTGTCATGCTTGCCCTTAGCCTTTCCACCTCTGGGCATCTCAAGATGCTTACTGTGTGCACCACCTAGTAGGCGTACAAAGAGGCACCTTATTGCTTTACCAGTGCCATGGTGGAGCCGAAGGTGGTGGTGATGATGATGAGAATGCAGCAACGGAGAGAGTGGTTATGGTGAGCAATGGGTAGGTCCAGTGGTATGTGATCTACTAGCATGACCTTTGACCCAGTTGGGCGAAGTCATATCTTGCTCTCACTTCTCCTCCTACCAGCCAGCTTTTGCAATAAGAGATCTAGTGCCAACATAGAAGTCTGTGTGCCTTGATCTCCCCACAAAGAGCAACTGGAAGAGGACAGCCAGGAGAGAACCCTCTTCTGAGCTGAACTGGGAATGCCTGGTTGCCATTTTCTCCCTGTATTGCTACTGACACCTGTAGCAGCTGATCAGGAAGGTATCTGATGCCTTCACTGGCTGGCTACAACTCCTGCCTCCTGGATCTTGATCAGGAAGGTATTCTCAGGCCCCTAAATGAAATATTTAGTGGCATCTGCTTCCCAAAGAGGCCAGCAGGGCCTCTCATTGGCATCCGGGGCACTCTGAGGAAGATGTCTGCAGATAGGCAAGAGTCCAGGTACAACATGCCTCATTGGAGAGCAGAGATGAAGGAGAGGGACACTGAGAGGGAAACAGAGGCGTAGCTGGTGTTGAGCCTGAGAATGCATGCAACAAGTGACCTCACAAAACTAGATAGAAAGAACAATGTGACTGAAAGAACAGAACATAATTACTCAAAGAAAACTTGCAATTTTAACACTAGCAGAAAATGAGGGCTAATAGAAAAAATTAAATAATCAATATCATAAACATATGTTCGCTGACTTCCCTCAAACTGAAGATGGAGAATTCCATGGAATGGAGGGAGGTGAGGAGCTGGAAATATCAGCAAACAAATTGCTCATAATGAAGGGTAATGTATCTTGAACACTTGAAACAGGCACTGTTGTAAGTGCTTTCTAGCATTGATGTCATTATGGTAATCCTAAGAGACAGATCCCAGTCCTGAGCTCAATTGAGGTGGAGAGATGGCATCCCAGAATGCTAAGTAACTTGAGCAAGTACACACAGATGTATCTCCATTGGAAGCCAAGCATCTAAGTTCAGCATTCATGCATTTAACCGTGACCACACTGCCACTCCTCAGAGGCACAAAGGTGTGTGTCATTCCCTTCTCTCCTTGCCTCCTGGGCCCTTCTTTGGAAGAGCTTCTTGAATGCATCCGTCTTGGCAGACCGAAGCTCTCAACTTGTCCTTGCAGTTGCTGTCCTTGTGAAAACCCCATTCCCAACGTAGGGAAATCTATAGATCGATCTCCTGCTCATCCCTTGCTGTCAGGAGATGGTGCTTCCTCTTGACTCCAGGGTTCAGTGACAGCTGCTCAAGGGTGGGCGGTCCCTAGGCCTGGAAGGATGAATTCCCTGGCTGGTTACCAGGAGCAGACTGTCCCAGAACAATACTACTAAATGGGTGAGAGGAAAACAGGCCAGCTGTGGTGATCTGTTGAGAATTCCTGGCCTAATCAGCCTCATAGGTAAAAGGACCACAGCTGTTGCTGCATCCCAGACTCTAGGAACTCTAGGAGCCAGGCTTCAGGGAGTCATTTCTGGAAGGGGAAATGATACAGATTGGCCAGTTCAGATATCTTCTATTTTAAAACTAAGAAATAGACTCAGGAACAAGCTAGGCCAGTCCAAAGCCAAAACACAATTTGTGAGTGATACAGTATGACCCAGGATTACTGAGTCTTCCTCCTTCTCCCTGCCCTAGAGGGCTCCAAGCCTTCTAGTCCTCAGGGAGCTAATTTTCCCATCCTCAACCCAGATCTCAAGGATCCCTTCATCGCCACTAGCCTTCCTACAATCTAGGCAGAGGCAGTGCTGGAACTTGTACAATAGTATGACAGAGAACATTAGCGTGAGGCTATTCCCTTTCTTCTGTCTCTAGCTTCCTAGATTAAGCAGTCACTAAGTCAAGGAGGGCATCAATCAAAGGTCCACTCATAGCGCTCATCCCACAAAAGGAAGAATAGAATGCAAGCCAAAGAAGAAATTCGGCTTCTTCAAGATTTCTCAAGTGCTATCTCCTAGAGAGGCTTCAGTGATAAAGTAACAACGCATATACGTGAAGCACATGGTGTGTGCCAACAACCAGGCTGTTTTCCTTACACGAGCACATTTGTTCTCTTGAGCCAGGTACCCTAATGATCCCCATTCTACAGAAAGGCAGGTGAGACCTGACGTGCCCGAGGTCCCAAATTCACTCCCAACTTCTGCTTAACAACAAAAGTCATTTGGGAGGTGAGATGGACAATCTTAACCTCACACCGAATCCTTTCATGTAAACCTCTATCCATCATGTCCAGGTATGTGGTGTTCGTTGTGGGAAAAGTGGCGCATATACAGCCCACTAGTTTAATGTGAGTATGGCTCACAGAGCATTTTCTCCAATACAAAAGCCTCCAGCACCATGTGGTGACAATTAGCCTTCTCCTCACTACTCCTCCTGGGACCTGCCACTCTCACCTGTAGTCCAAGGAGCTTCCCTAACCCAGAGAGAGGGGCATGCCAATATGGCCTCTTGCAATTCCCCGCACAGCTGGAGAATTTGAGGATTCTGTTATTTCCTTTCCACGGCTCCTCTTGAGGAATTCACGTCCTGCTACCGGCCTCAGGACATGGCTAAAAATAACCTCTGGTTTTCAAACCGAAAGCTGGATCTGTTGGGAGCCATTGCCGGTGTGTGTGTTGTGTGCGTGGGGCCGGAAGGGCTGTGTCAGAGTGGCTGAGGTCAGCCCCAGCCGCATGCTGTTGCTGCCTTCCTCTTTCCAAGGAAGCCCGGGGCCTCGTGAGTCACCCCAGAACACCCCAGTGGAGCCTGGTTGGAGGAAGCCAGTCAGGTGGGACCAACTTTGGCACCATAGTGGCTGCCAGCCCTAGGATGCAAAGCTGAAGAGCAGGAAGAGGAATGTCTAAAAGTATAAGGGGGGGGGGAGTTGGAGGAGATTTTCAGAGTGGAGACTGTTCTTATTATAACAGGGTCCAGCCAGACTGGGGGGGGGGGGGAGGGGCTAGACAGGCCTCCCCAAAGCCACTTAGGAGCAAATTCTGGACTGTTTCCATTCTTGATAACTCATGTGCCCAGGGTTGTGTCTGGACTTGTCTGCGAAGGTTGCCTGGAAATGTGTCCAGCTGGAGGGAAGAGCTCTCTTCTGGAAGACTCACTGCCTCCTCCTCCTCCTCCCAGTATTACTGCCACACTGGAAGTCAGGGGCAGCACAGCTGGGGTGGAGACAGATGCTTTCTCTGGCCTCCCATCCCTTGCCCAGGCTCTCTGTAGAGTCTCCTCCGGAGCCTTACCCTGCTCTCCAAGCAGTTTTGGTTGGAATGCAGACAGAAGTACTCAGGGGATGAAGATGGGTCTGGAAGCCTGGCCACTCAGGCCTGGGGCTGATTTCACACGTGTTTGACCAGTCCCAGACCCCAGGGGTAGCTGGATGACACCGATCCTTCAGTGTCCCCACTCCCTTCCCAAACTGCTGCAGCTCCCAACAAATTCCCCACCGGAGCTCCTCCTGCAGGTGGTGGGAGCTGGACTCAGCCAGCCTGGCTTCCTAGCAGGGACCTGCTTCCTGTCATCCTGCCTGAAGATAAGCAAGGGCGGAAGCTGCTCCCTCAGGACCTGGAGGTGGTGGTGTTATGTCCTTCTGTTAAGGGGGTTGCCCATCTCCTGAGGGGCTTTTCAGGACCCCAAATGACACATGTGAGAATCCTAGTTTGTTTGTTTTTTTGTCGGTCATTTGGTGTGAACTCAGGGCCTAGGCACGGTCCTTGAGCTCTTTTGCACAAGGCGAGTGCTCTACCACTTCGAGCCACAGCATCACTTCCAGTTTTCTGGTGGTTCATGGGAGATAAGAGTCTCCTGGACTTTCATGCCCAGGCTGGCTTTGATCCTCAATCCTCATAGCTCAGCCTGCTGAGGAGGTAGGATTACAGACCTGAGGGCGGAATCCTAGTCTTATTACATACAGTTATTTCCCTCTTCCAACAAGTCTTAGCACTAGTGATTAGAGATGCTTCTTTCTGAAGAAGAAGAAGCCCAGGAGCAGGGGCAGGGACAGAGTGGGGGGTTCATCATTCAGGGTGACCAGCTCTTCACCCCTCTCTGGGGATGACAGAGAATGAGATAGTGAAGAAAACTCAGTGGCACGTGGCAATGGGACTCTGAAAAAAGGGAGTTGTGTTTATGACATCAGACTTGCAGGAAGGGAGTGGGAAGGGGAGAAGGAGGTGCTTCCTAACCAGCTTTTAGAAACCATGAGAACCTTCCACTCACCTGGACCCTGACACGATGAGTGGGTGGGGAAGACGGTTTCGATTCTGACACTGGCGTTCTCGGGCTGGGTGAAACTTGAACAGCCTTTTAACCTCTCTGAAAGAGAAAAGATGATGTCTCAAGAGGACAAAAATAGAGATGCTCTGGTGCAGTTGATATTTTCTTTTTAGAGTATTATACCGCATAAAAGGCTGCAGACCAAAAATAGATAATAGGATTCCCTGAACATCCCAAAGCAGGAGAAAGTATGTTAAAAATAGAAAAACCCAAAGTGTAGATGGAAGTCACAGAGCTAGCCAAGATTGGGCGGTGGGGGGCCCTGGGTCAAGGAATACCATTCACTCTTGTGGCTTGCTTCCTGTCTGACCACTGGGCCTTGTGTTTTACAGAACCATGTGAGGGCCGAACCAGGAAGGTGGAGTAGAACAGGGAGGAACTGTCTCCTCAGCATCGCCCCCTTCAGGATGGAACAGCGGAGGCCCTGGCCCTGGGCTGACAGCTGGTCTGTGGTTTTACTTTCCCTGGTCTGGGTACTGCTGACTCCCTCAGCTGCTGGCATGCCACAGTTCAGTACTTTCCATTCTGAGAACCGTGACTGGACCTTCAACCACTTGACTGTCCACCGAGGGACAGGGGCTGTGTATGTGGGGGCCATCAACCGAGTCTACAAGCTGACGGGCAACCTGACCATCCAGGTGGCTCACAAGACAGGGCCGGAAGAGGACAACAAATCGTGCTACCCACCTCTCATCGTGCAGCCCTGCAGCGAGGTGCTCACCCTGACCAACAACGTCAACAAGCTTCTCATCATTGATTACTCTGAGAACCGCCTGCTGGCTTGCGGCAGCCTCTACCAGGGGGTCTGCAAGCTGCTGCGGCTGGACGACCTCTTCATCCTGGTGGAGCCATCCCATAAAAAGGAGCATTACCTGTCCAGCGTCAACAAGACGGGCACCATGTATGGCGTGATCGTGCGCTCTGAGGGCGAGGATGGCAAACTCTTCATTGGCACCGCGGTGGATGGCAAGCAGGATTACTTCCCCACCCTGTCCAGCCGGAAGCTGCCCCGGGACCCCGAGTCCTCGGCCATGCTTGACTACGAGCTCCACAGTGATTTTGTCTCTTCCCTGATCAAGATCCCCTCTGACACCCTGGCCTTAGTCTCCCACTTTGACATCTTCTACATCTATGGCTTTGCCAGTGGGGGCTTTGTCTATTTCCTCACTGTCCAACCCGAGACCCCTGAGGGCGTGGCCATCAACTCGGCTGGAGACCTCTTCTACACCTCACGTATCGTGCGTCTCTGCAAGGATGACCCTAAGTTTCACTCCTATGTGTCCCTGCCCTTTGGATGTACCCGCGCTGGGGTGGAATACCGCCTGCTACAGGCCGCTTACCTGGCCAAGCCTGGGGCCGCCCTAGCCCAGGCCTTCAATATTAGCAGCCAGGATGACGTGCTCTTTGCCATCTTCTCCAAAGGGCAGAAGCAGTACCACCATCCTCCCGACGACTCTGCGCTCTGTGCCTTCCCCATCCGGGCCGTCAACTTGCAGATCAAGGAACGCCTGCAGTCCTGCTACCAGGGGGAGGGAAATCTGGAACTCAACTGGCTGCTGGGGAAAGATGTCCAGTGCACCAAGGCGGTAAGGAGATGCTCCCCTCACCTGGAAACCTATCTGTAAGGGACTCTGGCCTTCCTGCGTGTGCCCTTCTGTACACCTCACTCCCAGGCCACCAACGGCAGGAGTGAGAGAGATTGTCATGCTCAGGTTATCAAGTGATAAGCAAACCCTATACAGGATGTCACCTCTACTTGAAACATGCTTGGGACATGGTCTTTTGGTTCATCAAATCATCCTAAATATATGCCATGTGTTAGTGGATGCTGTTGCAGGTGTTTGGTGAGCCGTACAGCCATGTTCCCTGCCTTCATGGAGCTTACCCTACTTGCAAAGCAAGACAAGCGGATATTTGAAACACACAGGTGGTCAAATGGTGATCATTGCGATAGAGGAAAACAAATAGATGAGTGAATCAGCTCACTGAGAGAGTGGTATCAAAACAAAGACTGAGCAAGGGAAGAAAGGGTACCATGCAGGTATTCGGGGGTGGGGGGAGAGCATGCTAAAAAGGAAGTGGTAAGTGTGAAGAATTCTGGGCATGGCTGGAGTGTGTGAGGAACATCAGGGCCAGTGTAGCCTGATCACAGTATATGAGAAAGAGAATAGAAGATGAGACCTGAAACTGGTAAATGGCCCAGATCACATACATACAGGCTAGAAGCCACTGTGGTGCCAAGTAAAGAGATGGAAAGATTGTGAATATATGAGTCAGAGGAGAAGAAAGGCAAACAAGTTTGACTGATGGCTTGAAATAGAATAGAGTCTTGACAAACGCTGAGGAGGGGAAGGCTGTCCTTAGGACTTAAACCTGAGGACAGCAGAGATAAGAAAATCAGTGAAGCATGTGTCCTGAAGCTCATAGCACTCTGAACCAACCATCCTTCTCTCTCCCCTTCGCTTTATCAGTCTTTCCTTCTTCCCTCTCTCCTTCTACCCACCCAGCCCTCTATCCATCTCTCTTCCTTCCCTCCTTTCTATCTCTCCCTCTACCTATCCATCATCTATCCATCTTATCCATCCTTTCTTCTATCTCCTCCCTATCTCTCCACCTATCCATCATCTATCCATCTTACCTATCCCTCCATTATCTCTACTTCTGTCCACCCCTCCATTATCTATCCATCTTACTCATCCTTGCATCTATTTAACAACGAAGTATTGAAGGTTAAGTGAGTGTCTGGCACTCTACAAGGCACTGGGGATATAAAATAAAAACCATGATTGCTGGGTGCCAGTGGCTCATGACTCCTAGCTACTCAGGAGACTGAGATCTGAGGATCGTGGTTGGAAGCCAGCCCAGGCAGGAAAGTCCATGAGATTCTCATCTCCAATTAACCACCAGAACCTGTGCTCACCCTCCCCCCTCCAGCCAAAAAAATAAAAAACAATGTCAACAATGGAGCTGTGGCTTAAGTGGTAGAGCTCTAGCCTTGAGCACAAAAGCTCAGGAACTGCACCTGGCCTCAGCACTGGCAGATACATGTATGCATGCATGTGTGTATGCGTGTGCACACACACACACACACACACACACACACCTCATGAGATGATCCGTTGAGAAAATAGATGGAGAGATTCACACCATGCCTGGCATGTTAGTTAACTGCTAGGGAATGTGACAAGTACTAAAATTAGGTTTCTGTGCAAAGAGCTGTGGGCTCTGGACCAGCAGCCTGAGAAAAGGATCTGAGACCAAGGCCCATCTGACTGTCTTCTGAATATTCCAGAACTCATGTCATATCTTGAGAGGAAGTGAGTGCCCAAACTATGCTTCTGTTCTCACTGTGGTTAAGGCAATAGGCTTCGAAGTCCAACCCGTTAGGTGCTTTATGGCCTGTGTGACTTCAGTCAAATCCCAAACCTGGTCAGAGCCACAATATTTTTTTCATCTTTAACATAGAAGTACTAGTACCCTGTGTTCATGGTTATTGTGAAGCTCAAAGAGAAAACTTACATGCAATGCTTAGCACAATAGCTAACAGAAGTATTTGATCAATGAGATGCTAGGATTATTCATAGTCACCATAATAAAGAGACGGCTATTTGCTTAGCTGTCTTACAAAATGAGGAAATCACCTTAGAGAATCTCCAAGTTTCTTCTCAGCACTGAAATATTGTGATCAATGACCCTAACCCAGCTTGAGAGGAGCGAAGAGGAAATGTAAGGGTTAACCCCTTGCAGCTCCATTCAGGTTCCCATAGCCCAGAGTGGGAGGCCTTGTCAGGAGGAAACTTCTGATTCCTGCTTGTTTCTGAGCCAGAGGAAAGAGGAAGATGACACCCTGTGCTATTTCAGTGGCAGTGCAGAGGGACAAGCCCAGGCTAATAACCAAAGGACAGCAAAGGCACTGGGAAAGAAATGACAGCCAGGGGATGGGAACTTCAGAGAGAACAGCCCCGCCAGGGGCATACACCCGTCAGAAGGCTTGCTAGCAGGGGCTACGTGTACTACAGGTGCCGCATATAGAGCACAAAGGATCACAGACCTGGGGACCCAGAGATATTTTAAGGCACTTGAAGGAAGTGAAGGATCGGAGAGAGATGCTACGGTCACAAAGTCTGACTTTAATACGATCACTAGACTAATAGGGAAATGATAGATCAAGGATTCAAGCTTTGCTCTCAGGAAAGGGAGAGGAAGGAGATAATCATTCATTGCCTAGCAGCTATGTACTGGAGACTGTGCAGGGCAATTTCAGTATTACTTACTTGATCTTCACAATGATCCTCTAAAGCCATTGCTAATTATCACACTCATTTTTCAGGTGGAAAAACCCAGGCTGACAAAAACTAAGTTAAACTGCTTAAATGCATACAGCTATGAAGATAAAACAGGGATCCGAATTCAGTTCAGCCCCCATGACTTCAGAGTTCATGCGAGCTCTTTCTATGTAGCTTCTCCATGTCTAAGGAAAGCCCTTCAAGCTCTCAGCATTCAAGCTAAGGAAAGACACAGCGGGTATTTGGGAATAGCTGACCGTTTATTCAGACAGAAACTGTGAAGAGAAAGTCACTCTCAGGAACTTGGGATCCAAACAAACAATCTACTTCACAGTTCTGGAGATTCTAGAGTCAGAAAGAATGCTGAGAAAATCTACAATTACCAGCAAGCTGTTGCTTCTGTCACCATTTCTCCAGAGCTGGCGTGGGTTACAACTGTACCCAGATTCTGTCATATGTTCAAGCCCCTAGAGAGAGTAGTTAAAAAAATAAATCTAAGGTCACAAAATCAAGGGCTTAGCCCTAAAAAGAAGCTTGACAATACCTAGTTCAGCCTTTTATTTTACAGATGGAGAAAATGGAGACCCCTAGAGGGTTTGTACATACCAGGACAGTTCATGTCTACAGTAAAAGCAGGAGGAAAAGAGGTAGAAAGCATCAAAAATGAGTAGTGGCTGATTATTCTGTCCTGCTTCACTAGGGTGCTAGAAGTATTCCTATCTGTTGATATGCTTGTAAATAATTGACTTCAGGCAGGCAGGGTACATAGAAAAAAAAAGCCCCAGTTTATAGCATTTGCCAGTTTCTATGGTGTAAATACGTCTGCCACAGCTGATTTCAAGCAAAATGCCATGTCATTGAATTCAGAGATGTACAAAATAATCTCTCCTGAGTGGGTACTGGAGTGTCATAGTTTTGTTCTTTCGATTCTGCTGTGTGGGGCCCGTATGACCCAAAGTAGTTCGCATTCTTAGCCTAAAACTTGGTTCTTTTCTAAAGATCACACGTACACCAGTGCAGAATCATCATTCCTACCAGCAGAAAGAGCAAGCATAGTCTACAAAACACCCAGGAATCGCAAGAAATAAGTCTATTCCCTTTGGAATTGAGAAGAGAATAGCCCGTAGCTTAAAAAAAAAAAAAAAAGCATGTGCTGTAGCTTATAGACCAATTATTCCAAGGAATTGGACCTATCGAGGAGTGAAGCTTGTTCTTCCCTAATGAAGATGAGAAAAGGGGTTGAGGTGAGCAGGGGCTAGGTGTGGCCTTGATGTTTTATAGAAAACACAGTGGCCAAATCCTTTCCTCCTCTAGGATCCAGCTACCCCAGGACTTGGGGCTCTTTTTGGCCCATAGTTTGTAGTTCCATATTGTACAACCAACTCAGGTGGCTCAGAATACCAGTCAAAGTCCAGCCTTGTACCAGGAATGGTGTCAAGAATGTAAGCCCTAAACACTTCTGTAACCTCTGTCTTCTAAGAGCATGCAATATCTTTCCCTTCCTCCCTCTCTCCATCCATCCTTTATCCATCCCTCCATCCTTAATTTCCTTCTTTCTTAGGGGCCATTTATTACGCATCTCCATTTAATAGCTCTAAAAGAGAATGCTTCTAGCCTGAGTGGACACAGCCAGTTAGGAGTAGACTAGCAGATAGGAGTCCAGGTCTTTTACTTGCGCTTCAGAAGTTTTTGGTTTGGTTATTGTGGGTTGTTTTCAACGTGCTCAAAGTGATCTCCTTTGAAAAGTGAACAAGTCCTTCCCGACAGATTCTACATAGGCATACCATCACTCCATTCCTTCCAAAAGAATGGTAGTAGACTTTTCTTTCAATTATATGTATGCAACTTCATTGAAGACTAATAACATACAAGAGAAGGAGTACGTATGCAGCTTATTTATATGCAGTTTTATGTACCCCTTCATACTTCTAACCAGAAAACAACAAGGAAAGCTTTATTCTAAATGATGGAACTAAGACTTAAGTTTTTCTAAGGCAAGAAAGCAGTGACCCATTATTCCTATTCTGGAACTTCCAATGTTCTCCCAGAAGAATAGATAATAGAAATAGTTGAGTGACTTAGCATTCCTGTGCCCTCTAGGAAGACCCTGAAGCCCCTCTTCTCCCCACCCCAAAAAATCAACTTAGTCAAGGAACAAATAAGAAACTCTCACCAAGCTGGTAGAAACCTAGCCATGTTGTCACTCAGCTGAACATCTACTGAAGGGACTGTGTCTAAAACAGAAAGATCCTCACAGAGTGTATGGCTCCACAGGGGCATTAAAATAAGCAGAAAGTGAGCTCAGCAACCAGCTTAACAAATTGAGCTTGGTTCTCCTGGCAGAAAGGTGAACACAGGTGACTCCAGGTGAGTGGAAGATTACCACTCTTTTTTTTTTTTTTAAATCTAGTTCCATAGAAGCCAGGATGTGGTTTATGGGTCAGCTGGTGAGGTGCTTGGGTTCTATTAGACTACCCTGTGTTTGTGCCTGTCCCAAGCCTGGTGACCTCAGGTGACAGTGGTGGGCAGGGATAATTAATTTGAAGTTGATGCCACCATGCCTTCTCTGCCAATCATTCTGATCCCTTTCCCTCCTACCAGCCGGTGCCCATTGATGATAACTTCTGTGGCTTGGACATCAACCAGCCTCTTGGAGGCTCGACCCCAGTGGAGGGACTGACACTGTACACTACCAGCAAAGACAGAATGACCTCAGTGGCCTCCTATGTTTACAATGGCTACAGCGTGGTTTTTGTGGGGACTAAGAGCGGCAAGCTGAAAAAGGTAAGTCTGTGAGCCTGGCTGCGGGTACTTCCTAGAAAGTAGCTGCTGGTGGAGATTTAACCACAGGCCTATCTTCACTGTCTTGAGGGGAGGGAGTAGAATGGGGAGGGAGGCAGGGGTCTTTTTTTGTGCATGCGTGTGACTCATCTTCTAGCTGTTTTCTCCAGCCATCAGGATGTCTAGGAAACGCAAACGCATTTTAATGTTATGAATTTTCAAGAAATTAGGATGTTATCCCCCAAACCCATTAAAAAAATTATTATTATCTATCTGATGAATCATCCACATTGTAAATTCCTCTGACTAGGATCAGTAGAGTTGATTGCAATGGTAAAGTCTTTGTTGAATTGGAAAAAAAAAAAACTGATTGGAGCAGAGATGGATCTTGTTGCTAAGAGCCTAGAACAAATGTTGGATATAGTGTCTGGTGGTTATGTGACACTTAGGTGACAAGCCACATACCTCTCTTTTCTCACAACCCCAGACTCAGCCCTCCCTACCATCTCACCCAAACCTGAGCTTCTAGAAGGAAGTAGATATCTTCTCCCATGCCTCTCCCTGGGCACCTCTGCCAGCTGGAGGTAACAGGCTGTCTGGGGTTGGCAGCAAGGGAACCCTCTGGCACAGCAGGCTGAAGCCAACAGCTTGTACCTACTTGTCTTGTGCTTAGGGTGTGGAGAGAGAGCTCGCAGTCTGGTTCATTATGTGGGATTATAGCAGCTGCATTCTTTCCGGTCCCAGATAATCCCCTTTTCCCAAGCTTACCCTGCTGCCACCTCAACACCAGTCCGGCACCTGTGGATCCAGGCTCCTGCAGACCTCCCTGTCTCTCACCCTTTGATGTTGACATCACCCCTAGAGCTCTTTCCTCCTAATCCATTTAGAGCCTTAGGAGGGATGTGGTTTGGGAATGTGGAATCTGGGAGGCAGAACACTTCCAGGCTCTTCTTGCACTGACTTCACTGCAGAGGAGGTGAGATCCGGGCCTGGGTTGCTGATAAAGTGCTGAACCTTCCAGACCTCTCTGCTTCTCGTGATACCAAAAGCTCTTCAGCCATTTTTTTTTCTCACTCTTGGGAAAGGTCCTTGCTTGCTTCTGTCCTCTCCTTTCCCTTGTCCCTGGGACTGGGGACTCGACTTTGGCCCCTCTGCACATGGGAGAGAGAATATGTGTGGTCCTTCCACACTTGCTTTCCCAAAACGGGGAGAGGAAAGAGGTTGGTTTGAGGATGGTCCACTAAGGGTGAAAAAGTAGCATGTTCTACGGAAAGCCTGATGCTGGCCACACCGCTGCACAGCCAGGCTCATCCCATCCACTTGGGCAAACGGTACCTGGCACAGGTACAGAGACATTGGGTCCAGGGGTCTGGTGGGGTTAAAAATCAAGCATATCCAGTCTTTATCAGGCAATGGACCCTGTGATTCAGACACTTGACTAGTGGGTAGGTTCCTGCCAGAGACTGTCTACATCACAGCAGCAACCACAGTGAAGCTGGTGCTCAGCCCACCCCCTCTCCCCCGACTCTTTTCTTTCTTCTTCCATCATTGGCCTAGGCTATCTCCTTTATTTTCTGGAAAGTTCTATTAAAAGATTACCATCCTCTATGCTCATCTGTTCTTTTTCCTCTTCCTTAATCCCTTCACCAAGTGTTCATTCATAAAATTGGCCTCCAAACTGATAATTACAACCATTCTCGCCCAATATACTTCTTTTTCAGCAGGGTAAGTGGGCTCAGAGAAGAGATCTGAGGCAAGTTGCTTCCTGTTCTGGCTCCCGACTTGGCTCCCTTTTTACCTAAAGAAGCAGTGATAGAAGGGGCTGGGAAGGTGGCTCAGTGGTAGAGCGCTTGCCTCGCATGCATGAGGCCCTGGGTTCGATTCCTCAGCACCACATAAACAGAAAAAGCCGGAAGTGGCGCTGTGGCTCAAGTGGTAAAGCGCTGGCCTTGAGCTGAAGAGCTGAGGGACAGCGCCCAGGCCCAGAGTTCAGGCCCCACAACCGACCAAAAAAAAAGAAGCAGTGATGGAGCTCAGGTCTAGGCTTGCTATAGAGCTATATAGAGTTCATCCAGGGGTTAGTGCCTCCATTCTATCCAGCCCAACAACTGAATTAAGAGATCAGTGTTTTCTGAATGGACGGACCAATGATTGAGTAAAGGAAGAATGATCTAGCCAGACTTCAAAGGGACCCTTATGCCGACTTCTTGCATCTCTATTCTCTGTGTGTCTCACGTGGCACATGGGGTGCTGCTTGGCACCTTTCCAAGCCACAGACCCACGCTGGCCAAGTTGTCTCAGCCCTGTAGGAACCCAGGTGGACAAGTCACCGTGAAAGCAAGTCAACGGGTTCAAGGGGCAAGTCGGGGGAGGAGGGGCGTGGCTACGCATAGCTTGTTCCAACCTGCAAGATGTCTGCTCTTTCTCACTGTGTTGGGGTTTTTTTCCCCCACTTTTGGCTGTTTTTATGAGCTTATAGGGCAATTCACCTTTCCTTTCCACCCACACTCCTCTGAGGCGCCTAAAATTCACACTCAGACTTCCCCCCCCCTTCCCGGCTTCCCTGCTTACCCAGCCACTTGCCCCCACCCTCTACAGAGAAACAACCCATGAGGAATTTATGGAATGTCCCCAGGAAACCCCTACTATGGGCTAAGCCCCATGGTTCTTTCAACACAGGAAGAAAAATTTTAAAAAAAAAAAAAAAAAGCTAAGAGTTTAGAGTAAGGGAGGGAAGCTGGGTGCGTCAGAGCTACTCATTTCTTCCCTGCCTGGCCCAGCGTCTGTTAGATTGTTGGGCCCTTATCCGCAGTGGCCCCAGAGGGACAGCATGTCCCTGTGTGGGGAAGTGGAGCAGAACTAGAGGCTCTCTAGAAGTGGCATGACCATGAGGTGTTCTGAGGCTCTGGGTCACATACTTGCTCATTCACAGGAAATACAAAGGCCAGGCCACTGCCCTCTGAGCCACAGGCAGGTGGGAAGAACTCATGGTCAAATAAGGGTAAGACCTCAATGCCAAGACTCACAGCTCTTGCACTGGACTAAGCTCTGTGTTGTAGGTGGTAAGGTAGGCAGAAATGTGCCATTGGCTGGAATAACTTGAGGAAACGGGATCAATCTTCAAGGCTTTCTTGAGGAGGAAGAACACCAGAGTCTGCTTAGAGAGGATGACACCGATCAGATGAGTTGAGAATAAGAGAGAAGAGGAATCTAGGTCTTTACTACTACTACTACTACACATGTACACACCCACGTGTAGTACCATGTGAGTACTAAGTCTTGAACTCAGAGCCTGGATGTCGTCCTTTAGCTTTTTTTCTACTCAAAGCTGGCACTCTACCTCTTGAACTACATCTCCACTTCTGGCTTTTTGATGGATCATTGGAGCTAAGAGTAGGGACTTTCCTGTCTGGTCTGACTTCATACTGTGATCCTCAGATCTCAGCCTGCTGAACAGCTAGGATAATAGGCATGAGCCACCTGTTCCCAGCAGATCCTGCATCTGGTATGTGATCATGAGAAGGTAGAAACACCACAATGCCAGAGGAATCTGGAAGGCTTGGGACAGTTGGAGGTGAGGTAGAATCATGGCTCTAAACTCTGAGACGGTTGAGTGGACCCTGGGATTTGAGAGGACCCTAAAGTGAGCCTCAGGAAAACGAATAGTTATCAGGCTAATAGATGAGCAGTTTTCCAGGTCTCGAGCCTCTGTGACTCTACCTTGTAGTAGAAGCCACTTTTTAAGAGTGTTGAGCAAACCCAAGTGCACGGTGAGCCGGGGTGGTAAGGGTGTGGCACGTGCCAAGTGGAGCATATTTTAAAGGGATGTTAAACCGAAGGAAAGTAGAACATAAGATAGCTTCCTTCGGAGAATGTAATTTACTAAGCACTTGCGTGTCAGGTGCTCCTTTAGAGAGCTTTGTACCTATTGACTCATTTAATCTTGATGTAGCTCTTATCAAGTTAAGTGCCCATGTCACCTCCGTTTTACCGATGAGGAAATAGAGGCAAAGGAAGGGAAAGAAATTCATCCTCAGACACAGAGCAAGTGAATGAAAGCTCCTGGCCTTGTCTGTACGTTTAGTCTTCAAGGCTGTGGAAGATACACTAGACATTCATTGTGACCCCATAGGTCAGAAGGAGCAGGGCTAACGACTAGAAATGACCACAAAGTAGTTTTCCTCTTCACGTAAGGAAAAAAGTTTAATAGAAACTTTGGCTAAATTGGCTAATAGGCCAAATTATCCATGGATGGAAAGAATCGGCTCGAGAGAGCATGAGCCCCTTAGTCATGGAAATACCCATTCAGGCATGCTGCAGAGGCATCCTGCACCAAACCACAATATCCCTTCCGGATGCCACTAGCTGTCTCCTTGGTGGAGGTGGGTAGCAAGGAGGACAGGCAGTGCCAGAGAAGAGGCACCAAGAGAGAAAAACCAGGGCACCCTAACTGTGAGCCTTGAAGTAGAGACAGGGTTGAGCCTACACTCAGCATGGCAGAAGACCCCTGAGAGTCAAAGGAGCGATCTTGGGTACAGACAGGGCAGGACAAATACAAAGATGATGGGTGCCAGTGGCAAGATGTAGGGGAGACATCCCACCTGGATACAAACAGAGCAGGCAATGGGGGACTATGGCTGAGGCACATGCTGCAGCTATGCGTAAGCAGGTGGGAGAAAGAATCGTGGTCAGAGCGAGAAACTCAGTTCAAATAAGTTTCCAGGTTCCAGGGAGGAGTCAAGGCATCAATTCCAGCATAAGTCATGGGTGTGGCAGGGAAGGGGTTGTGCTGAATATGAAGAAAACATAAATGCAGATGAGTGGAAGGCTTCAGGTTTGCTTTCCTCCTATCATGGGCAAGCTGCCGAAGCTCCTGCCTCTACTTTCATTTCACATCCTTGCAGAGCTTCTCGAAAAAGCTGGAAATAGTGCTCTGCTTTGGTTCCCCATCCCCTTGATCACAGGGGCCTTAATCAGTAATGGGAGTGGCTGGTTCTCTGCTC